ACGGAGCGCCGCGCGGCCCCGCCGGCTCGCTCAGGGAAGGAGGCGGAAGCCCCTCCTCTTAAAGGGGCCGTGCCCCATGGCGATTACCGATGAGAGCGGGCTCCGCTGCCATCAGTGATAAACGCGTGTCGGGGGCGGTGACTGCGACCCACCCCCACGGACCAGGAACCGCTTATTAACGCAGAGAGTGGCATTGCGAGAAGGCAGCGAAGGCGGATTTGGTCGCAGCTACACGGTCACTGTCAGTGCCCCGAGGCCTGAAGCAGCGGGGAAGCGGGCAGTCCGTGGGCAAAGGCCGGCAGCAAAACAATAAAGTTATAGGTATGGGCTCTGTAGCCACACTCAGTATTACTTCATAGATATTCTCTCTTTAAATTCCTGTTACTGCCAGTACCACTGAGTACAGGTCACCCTGCTGTACTGACGTCTAGTTTAAATACAAGCGCTCCATCAGTTCCATGCTTAGACCACGCTATTATTAGACCTGGCTCCTGTTTCTTTGACATTGATATTGAAGGGGAGATGAGCTCAACCCACCCATATTTCTATAGGTGAGGCACTGCACACTCAACCGAGACAGAGGGAAGACTCTTACCCGCTGTATTTAAGAAAGGGAGCATAATTTGTTTCTCTTTACCTCTACACTTCCCCATTGCCAAATGTGGCTGAAATAACGCTGCCCAAAGCAGCCTAACGTCCCACTCCGTTTCTTCTTTACATGCTTGTATGGATTGAACAGGGATGACAATATGCTGTCACTCCTTTTATGGGCTCTTACATATCTTTCTGCTGCCTGCTGTGTGAAAACAGAGTCCCACATCAGTAGCCCTTTACTCCCAGAAGTGCCATGTGGTCATTCACTTTCCCACTGGAGAAGAAAAAGTAATGGTTTGACATAAACACGAGTCAACTTTAAGCAAGTCAGTGTACTATTTAAAACAAACAAACAAAACCCCAAACCCACAAGAATACAGTACTTTAATAATCCAAAACTTTTACTGGTTTACAATCCGACAGCATACAGTGCTGATAGGCTAAAACACTCAATGAATGTTTCCTCAATGGAAATTCAAATTGACACTTGCGCGTTTGTAGCTTACAAACAGTATTACTCAAGCTGTAGAGAGAATGAGGCTACTTCTTTAAAATACAACAGTAAATAGATAATTGCTTTGGAATATAGGCTATGTTTCCATGCTTAGCTTGGAACCAACAGGATCAACATATGTGGTCATTTGACTTCTACATTAAGCCTGAAAAATGATCAAGAAAATAGCATCACCTCTTTAGGAAAAAAGACCTTGTGTTTATGGTAGCTGGTTATCAAAGTAATCTCACTTTTGCACTCCAAAATAATGAGGTCATACACAAGATCTCACTACACTTGATAGCATTACATCAGTGTTCACTTCGTAGCCAGGAATCATAAACAGTCTCAACAAGCAGACTAAATTCCTTCATTTATTCCAAAAAGGATAAACACTGTAGGCATAAAAGTGATTGTTGTAACCGTTCCATGCACCATGCCAAATGTCTTGCAAAAATTTGGAGGGCCAAACCCTTCTGGTTGAAAAAAAAAAACCTAGTTTTCTATGGCCAGCCTGTCAGATATCTGTCCTGAAAGTGCCAACAAGCAGTCAAATACATAGCTGCTGTCTACAGAGCTAAACCAATCATTAAGGGCCACTACTATCCTCTGTGACAGGACACCTGAGAGTTGCAGCTTAAAAGCCCCTGCCTTTGATTGGAATATAAGTCATTAAGCAGCTAAACTTGATTTAATAAAGTAAGGAAGGGATTTGGGCTATCATTTCCATAATCCAGCCTTTCATTTTTCTCCTTCGTCTTCAAGCAGGAGATAACTGCTAATCTTGTTAGATAATGATAAAATAAATCATCATAGAATCACAATACGTGAACAGATTCCATGAACATGCAGCCCTTCAACAAATGAAGGAAGACATTACAGCCTGTTTTTTGACACAAAATGATTATGGTGCCTAGCAAATAAAAAGTAAAGTACAGCTTTAGGCAACTCGGCACATGACATGCTTTGGCCATGTTTATACAGCACTGTCTGTAAAAAGACACTTAAGTTGTGACTTTATGCATACTATAAAAGAACTTAAATTTCAAAATCTAAAAAGTTCTTGAAAATTTACAAAAGCCAAAACTAAAAGAAGCTCTTTTTGTTACTAGTCAGATTGCTTCTAATTGTTTCAAAGTTATAGTATGTAAAGTCTTTGGTTTTAACAGAATTAATTCCAACTTGCTTTTAAGAGCACACATTTATTTGTAATTATAATAAAAGGCCGATTCTGAAATAGGAAAAAAAAAAGTTCTTCCACAAGTATAAACCAGTTATATACATCCTCATTGAAGGCACTATATAGTTTAAAATTCTCTGTACAGTTGCAGTAAAATTCAAAGTCACCTCCGGAATAAAGTCTGTCTTTAAAGATCCAAAACAAGATTTGCAGCAAATTACAACATGGGCACAATGTCAGAGAGTTGCTCTGTTAAATTTTTGTAGTATATACAACCTGATGCAAAAATCTCAGTCCAATATGTTTTCTGAACATAAAATGCTCGCCATATTATGATCCTTTGATGAAAACAGTTGTCAGTTGAATTCTCTGTTGCTACAAAATATAGCCAAGCAGTCCTTTAAAACGTTTTTGTGATCTCATGACAACATTGAGCAAGTAGTACAGTACAGTCCAAACAGACCTACACCAAAAAGCCTCTAGATTTTCATATTATTTCAAAGAAGTCTACTGTGATTATGTACAGAAGTTGAAATGATTCTTGTTGCCTTATTAGTTTGCTTAGATATAGAATTTTAATAATTACTATGCCATACACTGCATATTGGTTAATTTCTGCATGTCTTATGTAGTGTTTCAACATCAAGACGTAAGTAGAATAGAAAAATCCTTTCTTAAAAGTGTTACTTCATTGCTTTATTAAAAAATGATATATTTATGTGAAGTACTAATAGCTTAATGCAACAGCTTGAAAAAAAAGGATTTTTCCATTTGCCAGAAACTTCGGACAGTGGTTTTACAGTTAAGGCTGCTTTTCCTGTACAGAATTATGCAGAATTTAAAAAAATGCATGTCCACTACTTCTAGAGAAACTGATACTTATGAATGTAGATAAGGATTTTTAAACAAAGAATATAAACTAAATAATGCCAATGAACACATGAAATCAGTCTAAAAACATATCCAGTTTAGATACAGAGCAAGATACAGTTATGGGACCTTTTGAAAAAGACTTTAAGGATTTAGGTTGAATAGAAAAACTGCCATTTTGCAAGGCTCCTACTTTTTTTTTTGTGCAAGGCTTCTACTTTTTTATTAGTCCCTCAAATCTCTTGGGAGAATTCCTTAGCCAATTTATTTTTGTTTGGTTTAAAGGGATGTCTTTAAACTTCATCACAGTATCAAGAACTAATAAAAAATTTTAAAAGTAGAATTACATATAAGATAGCTGTGAAAGATTTCTCTTCAGTGCATATGAACAAGGCTGAACAGCTCTACATAATGAGTCCAACTGTTGTGTGAAGAATCCCTTATCACTAACTCATTGTTTTCAAGAATATACACACCCCTCCACGTAAATAAGCACCCCCAGATTTCCTAACAAACATTTCAATTGGGTCATTATCTGCCCAATGACCGTGAATGTCCCATTCTTTGACTACAGACAATTATACTATTGATTTGGAATTACATTTTTAGTAGAAGGCACAGCCGAAGTCTTGAAATACAAAAAAGTTCTTAAAAAAAAAATCAAAAACTATGGTACAGAGACTGGTGCAGTTACTGTGTCTCAATCTGAAAAATGTGATGTATACCAGCAGATTATTTATATAGCTTTGCTTTAAAAGGAATGGGGTTTCCAGTCTTTTCCCTTCTAACCCAGATAAATGTAGTCCAAGATTGTCAAAGTCAACGGTGATGAGCATGCCTTGACAACTCTTGAAATCTCCACGCAGTTTTGACAAGATCTGCTAGTTGTCTCCTTCAACCCTTCTCTTGCGAACTGTAACAAGAGAGAAAAAAAAAGTTTTACTATTTTATCTTGTAACTACTTTCTGTATTTCTACATCAACAGTTACTTGCCACATAGTTTCACACAGCACAACTCAAGGTAATTAACACTTAGCATTATCCATCATTTTAAGCTCGTGCTTTAGCAGTGCTTATTGCCTTATTCATGAACAGTTTCAAATATCTGTGAGGAAAGACTTGTAGGAAACATTAATCATTTTATTTGGTAAGCAGATTTAGCCAGTACTCTTTTTTTACATTGCAGTTTTCTAGTGGTGGAGAATTAAGTTTAGATGGCTTCAAAAGAAACAGTACAAGAGTTTCACAGTATATCTAATATGATTTATACAGTTTGCATAAAAAGATGTTACATTCAATAGCCTAAAACATTCCATTTATTAATAAAAAAGTAATAAATTGTCAGAAAATGCAAGAGCAACAAAAATTTGTGAATAAAATCACTAAAAGTTCACATGCTGTTTAGACTTAAGAATATGCAAGACTGACTGAATGACTGGAGTTTTTCTCTAACATTTATAGTATTTTTAATTGAGATTTTCTTTCCCTTATCAAATTCTGTTTTCCTTTTCTGTGCAGATATAACAAATGAGGCTAAATGTCTTAGAAATTATATAAGGCATCTCCGTTTTGTTTAAAAAAGTCAAGCAAGCACATCTATATGAGAAGAAAGTGATTCTGTTCTCAAATCGACTCATTGGAAATTACGTAGTTTTACAAACATTTGCAATTTGAGTTGATCTTCTTTACCTTCAGATCAAAATAACACAGGGAAACCTGTTTTGTTTCCCCTCCCTCTTCCTGTACCTAAAGCATTTCTATGCTTTAGGTACAATCTAAAGAAACAATCAGCATAAAATCACACTAGAATTTTACTGTTTACAAAGTCAACGTATTGCTCACTTTGAGAGTAACCCATAGACTTATCTCCATTTGAATCCAGATCGTTTTCATCAGTGATAGAAGTTATGCATACCTGCTTTCCTCAAATCACAAGAACAGATGAAAGTTTCCCACCTTAGACTTCTCCAATCATGCAGTTAAAAGCAACATATATGCAGCTTCAGACAAAGAAAATAGTGTAAACATAGTGTAAACAAGGGATAGAGAAGATGTAGACTATTTTTTTTAGAAGAAACGTACAAAAGACAGAAATGAGAGACTTTTAAAATCTCCATTTTCAGGGCTCAATACCCAACTGGGTATCCAGAGTAACCTCTGTCTGTAGCTTCAGGGCTGGAGAGATGAAAAGGCATTTGCAGAAACTTTTACTCGCATACTCCAGACTAAGAAAGCAAAGGAAAAAAGGGAAGATATCAATAGAAACATAGATTTCCAACAGTCAAATGCTAAAATGAGAACTAGTGAAAAGAGAAACCTTAAAAGAAAGTAGAGACACCTGAAGCATTATGATGAAAAAGTAAGAACAACTGGTTTAGAAACTACTTTGAAAGATAGTTATGCAGTGTCTAAGTGCCTTTCTTCTCTCTATGCTTTATTCTCTTACTTCTCTTCCATCTTTCAGAGCTGTTCTCCTCCACTTTAAACTTTATTCAGAGGGGAAGCAGATCTTTAAACCAAATTCCAATTTCCTATGTCATTCCCTCTAATGTATTCCTCAACTACTACTACTAAATTGCCTGGCCCGTTTTCATGCTGATGAGATGTGTAATCCTTACCACAAAGCATCTAAAGCCAAAAAGTTTAATTAAATGGTGTTTTAAAATGTAATTCTGTTTAAATAGATGGACCACATTACCTTGTTGTAGTTGAGAGCTTCAAGTATTTGACATTATTATACAAACAATTTTCATCCACGTGCTATATTATTAGCCCATTTTCTGCTGTTCCATTTAGTTAGGATTCTAACAGATGAGTTCCACCAAAACTACTGCAGCAAATAAAGATGACATTGCTACCAGCTACCTTTAAGAGAGGCAGGGAAGGTACCTGAGCATGAACAGAACCATAAGGGAAGAGATGACCCAGATCCAGCCTCTGCACAAGACAGTACATTGTTTCCTTGCTCAAGAAATCCAAATGAGACTGGGTGTACTGGCATTGAAGAGGGCATCCTGCACTATTAATTTCAAGTACTGCTTTTAAAGAAATGACAAATCTTCTCTGAATAAAGCTGAACAATCGAAACTATTATTTTCCCTCCCTTTGCCACAACATATGTGAAATTTGAATGTTCTCGTTCTAGAGTATGCTAAAAATCCTCAACTCATACAGCTGAACACCCTGCAACAAAATAAAAGGAGAACATCAAGCAGCAACAGAAGAATCGTAGTAAAGCAGAGGAGAAATCTGAAACTGATCTAGTCATATTTTGCTATCCTCATTATGTCAACGGAAAAGCAGAAAAAAAACCCTTTAAAACCTGTGTCACACACACATTCATTTAATAGTCACTCTCTACTGACAGGTCTTACCCAAATCATTATTTTTTGTGATAGCTGCGGCTGCCCTGGCTCGAGGTCCCTGTTGTGTGAAACGGTATCCAAATTTGAGGATCTTGGTGTTTTCTTCAAGCATCTTGGCAATTTCTACTTCTGCAACTGTGCCTAGCTGCTGCCTCTGTTAAAATAAAAGGCACACAAAGACAACAGAGCTTATGTGTATTCACCCTAAAGGAGATCAGAATCCTTTCATCACATTAGTCAATAAACACTTACCTTCATTTTGATTAATCTAAAAGGCAGGAGGTCATAAAACATGTTTGTGCACTTTAAAACACAAGCAAGCACCGAAGTGACCAGGAATCAACTTCAACTGGATGCTTCTGAGAATCTTAAGGACAGTCATTCATGGGGTTCAGATATTTAAAAGTGAAATATTTTGTGTAAGTTTATCACAAGTTGCCTTCTAAAAACATTCAGTCAACTAGGATAGACTGATCTTAATTATGATATTACCACCACTTCACTTACCTGATTATCAATTTTAATCTCTGTCAATGTTTCATTGTCTTTCAGTGCATCAACCAGTGCCAAAATTCCAACGCCAGTGATGAAGTTTGATTCTACGTTTAAACTTTTTAATTTTGTGTTTACTCTTAGCATATCTGCAAGAGCCTTTGAATACAAGAAAAGCGTCATTAAACTTTTGACTTTTGCTACAGTACATCATAGGCCACAGTGATAACGATTTCCACTAATCAGGTTCAATAGGAGTAACAAGTTCACATATGCATGGTATAACTTTGCAAGTTTTCACTTATTATTTGAGACTGAAGCAAGTCTTCAACCAGGCATTATCTACATTCCCTTTTTTAATAGTTTTTAGTCAAGAAAAGGCCTGTCTTTCTCTTGTTACAAACTAAAAAGCTACACAGAATATAAATTGTATGAAATTAGCATATTGGACCGATTCCATTTTGTAAGCATTCACAGCATACAATGAGTAATGGAAGCTGCTAAGTAAAGGTCAAAGAAAGGGTGTTAGTCAACTGAAAGGAGAATTAGATATGGTTAATTTGTAAACAGGAAATCTGACTTTCAAAATGCTTGTGTCTACAGATTTGGTAGGAAGAGGTACAATTCAAAGCTCTAAGCACAGTACCAGCATGGAGCTAAAAGCACTCTTACAGAAATGGCATATACCTGATCTTATTTCTGAGAAAATAAGAAAAGATAACTGCTGAGGTTTACAGTCATAAAAATCATGACCTTTAAATTTTTTTGTATCAAGTCACAATGCAAAAAAACCCCAACAAAATCACACCTGAGAAAAGAAGATTTATAGATTTTTATTACAAATGTTTCAGTTCTACTGAAAAGGAGCTTTTTAATCGATCCCAAACCAAAGCTTTCAAATGTTCATTTGTTCATTTAGTGGAACCTTTCAAACTAGTTTTCTTTCTAATTTGAAATTAAAACAAATGCAAAGGATTGTCCCCGCAAAACAGTTAGTGCTGTTTACTCACTTCTTTACTTGCAAATAGATAAGGTACTGCTTTTGATTCAACATAGGAAAAACAGGACCAAGTGACAAATACTTTAGTTTCAATTACCTCAAACTAGATGCCTTGACTAATATTATGCTTTATATGCCAGTGCTTTAAGCCAATCTTTGGTAGCAGAGAGACCAGAGAAACAGGTATTTTAAAACTTTCTTCAACTAAAACTCTAGTTAGTTGAAAAAGACTATGAGCTTTTTCAGTCCTCAGATGTGCTTCTTTTAAAGTTAATTTTTAATATACTATTGGCTCATGGAATGAACATCAGAAACCAAACAATTAGGAAAAAAAACAGGAAGGAAGTTAGCAAAATGAAAAGTCAGGGGGAAGGGATTGGGAAAAAAAGTATTCTCACTCATCTCATACTCTGATGCATTGCTGCACATTGGTCAACTAGTAATCATTTACCAATTTTGATACAACAGAGGTTTGTTAAGGAAAACATACTTTTCAGTGTAACAGAATTTAATAATTTTCATCCCTAAATATTTAAACAGGATTCAGTTCAATCCCTTACCATTGTCTTCCCATTCTAACTTCCCTGGCACCCTATCTCAGCATGTTAGCAAGAATACTTACAACAGCAACAGGATCATTGCTTCGGGTGGCTGCAAGGCTAAAATTCTTCACATGCGTGTTGGTTTCTAAGGCTTTTGCAAATTCTTTCAGCGTTGGAATTGGTATGTTCTTGAATTAAAAATAGCATTTCACTCTCTTGAGATACACAAGTTTATCCCCTCCCCCCAACTTTTTCTATCATCTTACTCTCTTTACAGCAAAATGTACTATAATATTAACTTATCACTGGCCTCCAGCAGTCACAGTAAAGGCCTACATGTGTAGCAAAGCTATATATAAGACGCAATGGCTGTTAGAGTCACCAATTCTATAAAGCAAAGTCATCTTTACTACATTGATGCCATTGCCACAATATAAGTGTTAAAAAATATTTAGCTGACTTGGAACTGTTACTCAGCAAAATTTACATGAACTGAACATTGTAGTAACTGTCAACATCAAATTAACCTCTCACAAATATAAAAAAATTTAGAGCTTTAGACTGGTGAGACCATTCGCATTTCATTCTCTGTGTTCTATTAAGAATAATTCCAGAATTTGCTGATTTATAGTTTGATAATTTTTGCAGCGTAGTAGCAACCAAGCTTAAAAGGAATAATTTTAGATAATTAATTAGGGTAGCAAATTTCTCAGTTTATTGTATCAAAAATTTTGTTCCATTACCTTTTTAGGCATTTATTTTGGCTAGCATTTCTCTACTGTACAATATTCTTAAACCACATATTTTATTTTCTTCCTTTAGTAAAGGCAACAAATAGCCTAGGCTGCTAGCGAGGCTGCAGCTCGCAGCCTGTTACTATTGTCCACACTGTAAGTCAGGAGTGCTATAGTTCTGTTTTCTTTCACACAAATATACAAACATTTTAGTCATGTTTAAAAACACAACTGTTACACTTATGAACAGAAGCTGCCCTAATTGCCAACAGTTTGTTTTACAAGAATCAGAAGGATGTCAGGTACAAATATCACTTTGTTTGCAATAGCAGTAACTGAGAGCACATTGCTTCATCAAGGACAAAGGATTCAAAGAAGGAGTTAACTCCACGACGGTGAACTGCTGGAACTGTCGCCAACTTGGCAGCAACAGAAATCTGCCCTGGCAGTAAGAAAATCTAAGACTTTTTAAATACTCATTTGGCAAAAGAAACCAAGATGGCTTATCGGTTTAGCTCTACGTTGCTGAGATTACACACACTGCAACATTTAGCAGAAAGGTCGCTGAACTTAAAATAAGCCTATCATGCTCTCCTAGAGAGTTTTGCATGTTAAAGTCTCTTCTACTGAGAAAAAGCAGCATACTTACTGCAGACTTCAGGTAATTACCTTGATGTTATTTAGATTAACTTCAACAAGACGAGAATCATTATCTTTAATCCTTTGCAGTGTCTCTTCCACATTTGTGGGATTTGGTGGTTCATCAAAAACAGGCAACATTTTTTCACCTTTTACTATATCTGAAAATTAAGGCATTTAATTGTGATCAAATAGGTCACATACATTCACTGTGAATGATACACATGCTAAATATTTACTGTATTTAAAAATCATTTCATCAGTCTTTACATCTGTCCCCCACCCAAAAAGCATACCATCCTCTCCTGACCACATTTTCATAAAGTTCAGTTCTTTTCCAAAGGCCCTCACAGTGTTTCTGCTTTTCTTGCGCACCAACTTTTTTCAGAAAGCCCATAGGAGTTGAATTACAAACACAAGCATGAAGCCTAAAGACCAACACACAAATCCATGCTTACGCCTACTTTTACACCCAAAAAGTGACTTAACTGCAGAATAGATTTTAATGCACATGTATTTTAATTCCACTCTTGCCAGAACTCAGTTAGCAATGTTAGACATGCACATTTCCAACCCAACACTGACTAGTCTATAAAGAATGCTAGTGCAACAGAAAATAGTTAATGCTATAGTAACTGTGTGCAGTACAAAGAACAGATTTATCTACCACCTGCGTACACTTACTTGAGAAGCTGTCTTTGTCAACCCCATTACTGCTTCCTACTACATCACAGAACTGATTGTTTGTTATCAAGTTGGACATTCCCAGTATAGCTGTAAAAGGAAAAAAAGAAAAAGCAAAAAAAAATTTTTACTGTTCCTGACTAATTCAGCTCAGATGCAGAGTTCCTTTAAATAATAACAAGTGTTTGTAAAACACCTAGTTATCAGTACAATAAGCCATTCAATCTCTTAATAATTTAAAGAGAAGTAGAAAAAAAGTTAATTATAGACTTTTTAGTTGGCTTTCACATCTTAGAAAGATTTGACCTCACCAGGTTCAATTATCAAAGTTAAAAGCGCAGGTCAGCCACAAAATTATTGACGGAAGCTTTAGGAATACAGGCACATAGCAACACAAACTTATATGCAAGAAAAAGTGGTAGTGTACACAACAAAAACCATCCAGTCTGAGGAATGAAATTAAAGGTTTTGAATTTGAAAATCAGATATCTTTTGCAGGACAAAATAATCTACCTTCCTATAAATTACCACAAATCAACAAAGTTGATACGCTACAAGTCAACTGGCATATAACATGATCTAGTTTCTATCACAACTTCCTATAGTCACATTTCAGATAACAAATACACTGCCACTTTAATTATAGATCTTTCTTGTCTAAATACATACCAGCGCAGTCATCCTTCAAAAAAACAAAACTAACCTGCAAGGTCACCTAATTCTGTGTCTGTGGCACTGGTCAAGGCTTCCTCCAGTTCTGGATCAAGACAGAATTTTTCTTCTGTATAAGACTGCACAGGCTTTTGCTTGGGGATAAATATTTTCCCTGAAGTAAAGAAAATGAAAACTCTGATGTTACTTTGTATTATATAGCTACTTATCTTTAAACTTTTCTGTCCTTAAGGAATACATACTACATTTAGTAAATCCTGATAAGAGCACCAAAGACAGCATAAAGGAATGAGATTTCTTCTGTTTGTTCTTGAAAGTCAGAGGTGAGGAAAGAGCATAAGCAGGAATATAACATTACTTATTCCAAATTTTCAGGAGTCTGTATCATGACTACAATCTTATTTGTTTCTCCTAAGGATTAGAAAGTAAAATATAAGCCTCTATTAAACATTTTAAACAGCCTAGAAAAAGTGCCTGTAAGGAAAATTTAGTATCACTAGAGAACAATGACTGGTATCCTCCCAAGGGAGAAAGGGACCCAGGCAGAACTGTAATCTGAATATATCAGAGAAATACAATATCAAAGAATCATCTGAAATCATGGACCTGAGTATTCACAGTAGTTTTACAGCATACATGATATTTCTGATTTCAGATGTTAACTCAATTTTGAAGTAAAAAGGAGATGCCTGAGCTGCTTGGAAAACCATGGTTTGTGAACAGCACAAAACAAGATAATACATTTCTCTGCCAATGACACTGTTTTCTAAAACGATACTTAAAAAGGTCACAGAAGATTCAATGGGAAAAGGAGCAGTAGTAATATCGTATTCTGCACCAACTCTTTAGTCGTTACAGACAGGTAATGGGAAAAGTTATTTCAGGAAACATGCATTATAAATAGAGCCCTGTGTAGTTAGCATAATTCCTGCATGTATCTTCAGCTTAAAAGTTAGGGCAAGAAACCAGAATATGAGAAAGCTATTCTAACAGCTATTCTGAAAACAGTTCAGATTTGAATGATTTAGAACTGCCCTTTTAGAACAAAGAAGTCTACCACTGGGTAAGAACCTAGGAGACATAAGGGGTGCTTAGGTTCAGGACAAATTAATGTGGTAAATAAAAGCTCCGGTACTGTATGAGAGAACAAAACTGATCCATTTGATAGAAGTAATTCACAACTAGAAAACTGTGAATCTAATCTTAACAGTTATTCAAAGTTTTTCAAACTTTCCAAGTTGCCCGAGTTATCTGCAGAGGATTGAGGGAAAGTGGTTCCAACTTCCTTTAGTTCCTTCCCACGGTAGGAAGTGGTGTTGATAATCTTTCTCTGAACTCTCAATGCTAATTCAGGAACCCACCCTCTTCCGTATTCATATCTAAAAAAACATTTCCACACACAAAGCATCCGAGCTCACCCCAATTACACGATGAAAACCCACCATGGGCCAGAATCAGACCAGCTGGGCAGAAGCCAGAAGCCTACAATTTTTTTCCCCCCTCATACTGCATACAAGTGTATCTTTCTAAATGTTTGGACTAAGACCAAGTTTAGCATTTTTAAATACCTCCCAGTGACAAGAAGCTTTTCAGGGATGTTTCAGTTTTATTTCTGAGAAATTCCAACAAAGTGGGATTTTGGTTTCACCACTTGTGGGGAGCAATGCCTGAAGTCAGCTCCTGTGTCCCACAGTAGACACAGGCATAACAAAACCCATCCACCTTTTCTCTCTCTCCAAATTCTCATCTTAGATTATAAATTTGTGGTTCATTTTCTTTTTAAAGGAACTTAATTCATTACCACTAGCACAGATTACAAAGAAGTGTACCGGGTTTTTCTCTGACAACACAGTCCAATGACCAAGATCTGTTGCTAGCAACACAGTGTTTTGGTCTGTGGGTTGCTATCTCTTTGGAAAGTTGTATAAATGGTCATTATCCATATTTAGAAGCAGAATATAAATCTCCTTACATAACTGTACTGACTACAAACAGTAGCTGAAAGCAGCTGATATGCATTACCACCCATATCTCAGGTTTGATAGTGCAAAAGAAACTATGTTTGTGGTGATTAAGGATTAAAAGAAAACCTTCATAAATTGAAGGCTTAGGTAGTAAGTGTTTAAGATTATTTTGATGTAATTGATACAGTACATTTCTACCCCCATTATATTTTACCAGCATCACCTACTGTGGAAAGAATAACTTTCAACTTAAATTGTAATTTTCAAAAGAGATATAAGAATATTTGACAAGGTTTTCATTAACCCATGAAACACCCTGAACAGCATACACCTGATCTAAAGCCTTTCATTAGCTATGTTTGCATTGCTTCCCCTCAGTAAGACAGACTGGTAAAAAAGTGAGGATTTCAGAGTACAAGAAAGGAGAAAAGAAGGAAAGTGCGATTTGAGCACCTGAGCCTTTGTTCATGTCATCCTATTTGCAGCATCAGGGCAGCAGGCAGGAGGACACTGACCTCAATTAAAAGCAACGTTGTAAAAATGTATTTCAACCTAGATCAGCCTCCTGTCTCATTCATCATACAGTACTTGCAGAAAAGAACTACTTTTCCTGATGTTATTTGGAGTAATTCTTAAATTAATAAGTTAGGAACTTCTGGTTCTAAACTTTTGCTTCCCAAGAGTAAGACTAAATTTATCCATACATGCCTGACTCTGAAGATAACCTAAAGAGAGGGAGAGGGCTATTCAGTTTTTGTTAAAGCACAAATTTTAAAAGCCACTCCCCTCCAGAAATATTCATTGTGGTGACAATTGCAGCCAGCTCCAGTCCCATGAACTGGGTCAGGAGCAGGTTTTGTTACGAAACAGGTCACACCCTTGTGTATATAATCTCTCATTCATTGGCTTCATCTCGTCCCAGCTCAGAGTTCAGAGGTTTACAATGTACATATGAAAGCTGGTCCTTTCCCATTACCCACTTCTAGTAATAAACTTACTTCAAAAAAGATAAGACCCCTGGGTCTCGGGGGACAATGATCTAACTCAAGGCCTGCTGCCAAGACAGTTTGGCAACTCCCTTCCCCCCTTGCTAATGTAAGCTTTAACACAAAAAAAACTAACCAAACCAAAAAAAAACCACCAACACTACACATCTGTGCAGCCCATGAGATGAATAGCTTTCTCGGCCCTCAAGTAGAACATTTCCAAATAGCAAGGATTTGATCACATGAAGGAACATGACATCCTCGTTTTCAGCCAACAAGGATACTGCAAAGATTAAGCAATACAACATGAAGAGGCAAATTTCAGAGATGTTCACATAATTTCTGTAGTAATTATGTATTCAAGTCTTCTATGGTTTTAGCTAATATGTTAAGTGAGGCACATCCCAGGATTAATTCACAGGCTTTCTTTGCTACAGAATGAGCTTTCAGTTCTAAGTTCCACAGAATCATATGGCTCAAAAGGCAGAAACATTGGATGATGTCTGCTGAAGTGCCCTAGACATTTCATACACAGACTCACAGCATCTAAGGCGGGACTGAAGATCTTGTGGAAATCAGGTCTGTTCAGTGTGGTCATGCACTGCATATTGCTGGTACTATTCTCACACGTCGTCAGTCCTATCCCCATGCTAGCAGACAGCGAGCGGCCACAATTTGCAGATCAGAAGAAAGCCTAAAACTGACTTTGCAGTACTCTGTTTGCAGAAAAGGAATCAAGTGTCACCTGAGGACAACTGAATACAAGCTCATCTCATCAGTGACTTTGTGAAGAAGAGTGAGCAACATCTGATCTATTCCTTACATCTTATGTTCCCTAAAATTTCATCAATCCAGAAATTAATATAATCCACAATTCATCAATCACCAATTCTTACCATGTGACAGACTTAGGTTTATCAATTCACTTGTAAGCATAATTTAATACTAATTTGTTTTAATTCGACTTACAAGTGACTTCCTCAGTGTGTTACTGTAGAAACAGTACTGTTACTCATTATCTGATTACAGAGAATGTAGCGGTGAGTTAGCAAACTGTTTTACATTAAGGCTAGAATATCACGTTATTTTGTTCTAGTTGTCCTGTATGGAGAATGTCAATTTGACAAGTTGTTTCTCCTACAAGCTCCTACAGGATATTAGCTTCATTTTACAAAATGTAACACACGATTGAAAGGCAAACAGAGAATAGAGCACCCCAAATCCTGCTGCAACAGAAGCAATTGGTGATCTAGAGCAACAACTGAGCAGGGTAGCAACAAAAGAGCTCTAGCCAGGTGACTACCATTTCAGCCTAACAATATTTTCTGGGTGATAGAGCGGGGGGGGGAAAAGCGAAACCACAAAACACCACAGAGACCAACATTAAAGCAGATGTTGCATGAAATGCAACTCTACACTGAACAAACACCCCAGCAGGGATGCAGAGGGAGAGTTGAAAGAGAAATTCATGATTAGGACAGTGCAAAGGCTAGAAATGCAAAGCTTAGTTTACATAATAATTTGCTAATGCCTTGCATTATACAGCACAAAGTACATTACTGATGTTAGATATGTTTTTATCTCAAGTGCAATAATTCTCATCCTTTGCTGTTGTAAGAGAAGTGAGGAGTATTAGTCAGACTTGGTCAGATGTGTGGAACATGCTTGAGGGAAATAGCTTCCAGCACTGACTCCTTGCTTCACTGTTTAGATGAGAGGTCCTTCTCCTTGCAGTATGCCTTGTAAAATACTTATGACACACTTACCTACACAGATTGAGACAAAGCTAGTTTTGTTGAAATTATTACCATATTTCTCTTATGAATCTCTTGAACAATGGTTTACTGTATGGTTCAACACTTAATTGGAATAGAATGCGACTTAAGTCATTAAATCATGTTTAGAAACAAACTATGTTTTTAAGGATGCTTTTAGAAACAGAATCAGGCACTGGAAAAATGTAACAGAATATAATTTAGGGATTGTTAAGCTTCGCATTTCTTTAGCACTGTTCTCATTAAATCATGACACTTTACATTATTTCAGATCTTCCACATTTCATAGCACACAGGAAAAAAAAAAGGTTCCAAAGATTTGGAGAAATGACATCATCTATCAGTGAAAGAGATGCAACATTGTTTTAATAACATGTTACCCCAAAATTAGGTACTTAGGACAACTGGAAGAGAGGATTTTCATTTACAGTGAGGTAGGTTACCAGACTCAGTAACAAGCCAGGATGTTTAACCCAGGGTAAGCTTCTTCAATAAACCTGCAGGCCAAATCATCAGGCAGGACATCAGTTCTACTAAAATAGGAAAGGGATAGAGAAAGAGAAGGATAGATTTTTCCCCTTCTTACTCCGTAAAATGAATAATTAGACCAAGTCAGAGCAATGAGACCAGCTACGCATACAGAAATATTTTAGCAAAGCCTGACCCACAAAAATGGCAGTAAAAATAGCTGCAACTCCAATCCATCTCTCTGCCCCAAAAACCTCTAGATCCAAAGGTTACAATTGTGAATTTTCTTCCAAATTAACAGGATAATCACACAAGATTTTCACCTACCCCTATTCCACAATTTGTTAGCATTTTTCTAGAATACATCTACCTAGCCAAAGAGAAAAATTATAACCCAGCTTAGTTGTTTGGGTTTTTTTTTAATATTAAAGAAAAGCACATTAGGATAAGAGCTCCCTCTAGATTAAAAACATCCTACACAAACATTAAGTTTTGATCCACTCCCTTTCCAAGTTTTACATCTAGATAAAGATCATGACTTCTTGATTTAAAAGATTAAGTTACATAGGTTTGCTATTTTTGTGCAAAATGGCTACAAACATGGCAGCTAGTCAAAGCTGAATCATAACATTTTCATGAGGGGGAAAGAAAAGGTTATCTCTCACCTACTGCAAAATGAGCTTAGCCTTCTTGCCTCCTCCTGCCCATTTAACAGAGCATGAATTTCTATACTGAACATTTGTTTTCACATTTTTAGTTTTAATGAAAGTAAGTTGTATTTCATTTTTCGTATTATTTTCTCTTCTTCTATGGTACTAAAATAAATGGTAGAAAAATTTATTAAATAGTAACGCTTTTTTTTTTAAAGAGATACGGGAAATTTTACGAACTAAACTGGTATGACATATTGCAACATCCAGATAGACTGCTATTTAGTAATACTTTATTACATAAAGGAAATGACATTTGATCTTTCTTAACCAAGAATTGCATTGCAGCTGGACTGTTCTGTTTTTCTACATGATTCTCACAGATTTTATCTACCCAAACAAATAGTTTTGCCATATGCATGTATACGTAAGCTGACTTTAAAGAACCACGTATCTGAATGAAGCACTAGTGCTCAGTAGAAAAAGAAGTAGTAACTAGAACAAATCCTCTATGCCCAGCCTCACATCCTGAAGGAGCAGTATACAAGGTAGCTGGGCTGCAAGGGATTCCTCAAACCAGCTAAGGTCCAAGGATACTTGAACTCAATCATGTTAAACCATTCGGCTGTTTCCAACATATATTAGCAAATATGTCGGGCAAGAAGCACAGCAGGTGAGGAAGCAGCAGCACACTACACAGCCAAACACAGGATCAAGAGGTACTTGCCAGCAGCAGAGGTACCATAAGGGTACCACTGCTATAGGTACCTTTGACTGCCTTCTACATTCAATACATTGCGTTATCCTCAATTTGCTTACTCTTACAGACTCAGTCAGCAAACTCCCGTTCTCCTGTCAGCAAAGGAATGTCACAGTTATCTCTCAACAAAAGTGGTGTTAAACGACACAAATAAGGCAAAACATGGTGTATTAAGGAAGTAGTACATCATATACAGTGCAGCACATTATAATGTCACAATCTCGCTATTACTTCAAGGAAAAGAAAAAAAAGAGACCAACATTGTCAAGTAACAGCTATCTGGGATTCGCATTTTCTCTGCCTGTACCCCCAACAAAATTTTCACTGAATATACACCACAGTCATATATACAAACTCAGTAGATGAATGAAGATTCAAGTCTGAAATAAGCAATGATCCACACTGGAGAACTAAGTAGAATTAAAGGGTTTCAAACCCTTAACAGGAGAGGAGCCTCTTCATCTTGGGCAGTTGGAATACAACTTATCAGACAATTTACTGAAGTCTTACTGTAGCACATCTGCCCTGCTGCTGAGGAAGGTTCAGACAAGCTGGGATTCACAAGCAGTACAGAAACACGGTGGTGACAGCTAAAAGCCTCCTCCCACGCACATGTGCCCAGCACAGGGCCGGGAGTTTCTGTCCCTACCCGTAGTGCTTAGTAAGGCACAACAAATTTGGGAACTCTTGTTTTGTGGGGGAAAAAAAACAAACCAACCTATTCTTACAATATTGAAGACGTACATTCTTTTTAAATTTTCTCCTGAAAAGGAAAATGCTTCCCATCAAGTCAATAAGAATACTAGATCCAAACCAAAGATTTAAGATCGCAGATTTTAATAACATGTCCACTCATTGGGTCAATGTTTCCATGGTTTTTAGACCACAAACCACTGCCAAATTTCAAAGTTCCTTGCAATGTTAACCACATATTTAGTTAATAATAACTATGCAATCTTATTAGACCTTTCAGTAAGGATATAACAGGATTGCATACACCACTTGCCTGGCCTTGTCAGCCTACGTCTTTGAACATTATTGAGTATCTACCATGACATCATTGTACTGCTATTTTTCAAATTCAACATAGTATTACAAATGTTACTGTCTACTCAGCACCACAGGACATAAGCCACAGGCATAACAGCAGCATTTGTTATTATTGACAAAAATCAGGGGCAGCTCTTACTTTAAGTATACTATCCCCATCAGAACTTTGCAATCTCTGATAAAATCTTTGAGTCTTATTTCCTTCCTGTGCTACATGCAAAGAGCACACCAGCCCCAGTGCCACAAAATGCTTGAACAGTAAGCATCCCGCCTCTGCAGAGTAGCACTCATTTGGAAACGCAGCAAATTAAAAAGCATTAGATCAGTGCTTCAATAAACTTCGGTTCACAGTAGTTCTGGCTAGTCCACTTCAGAGATCTCATAACCACCTACACCGGAAAGGGCGGTGTTACCTTTCTTTTCTCTTGTAAAAGGCACATAGTCTTCCCTGTCTTTGTGCTCAAGAGCCTGCTTCTCTAAATATGCAAGGAGTCGTTCCCTGTCAAAGGGACCCGAAGCCTTTTTAGCAGTCTGGTCTTTCTGTCGGAAGCCTGCAGGCAGAAGTGCGTTCTGCAAAACAAAATGGAGCAAATAAGTACAGCTTAGAAAGTCTGAGTGAATACCTGTTTAGTTTCATTTCCCTCTTCCCTCTCCCGAGGGTTCAAACCTGATATATCATCCTTTTTAGGCAATCTTTGATCCCTTGCCAACTGCCTTTTTATTGGGGCAGAGGAGGGCACAAGGTAATCTATTCTTTAAATACTGAGAGTATAATTAAAAGTAGAGCATACTGCACTCTGAATAGGACTGAAGCAATTCTTTAACTCCCAGCACAAGACTCGCTACTTACTCTGCATTTCTTTTCTAGAATGAACACTGTTTAAATGAGTAGAAGTAGATAGAACTCAGCTGTTTACGGTTTAGACATTCAGCAAGAGACTGCTTCCTCCATCACTTACATCCATGTGTTTCTAAGTCTTTGAGACAACTGCATTTAACACAGAGGATTTCTACTTTGGACCTGACTAAAAACAGGTGTTTTTTTGCTATCATCAACCTATTTCAGCTAAAGAAAAAAAAAAAAAGGAGGATATTAGCCTGGAAAGAACAGAACATAGAAATTCAGACTGTCAAAAAAGACAACCAATCACTGTTGCCAGTTCTCTGTTAAAATGTCTATAAAGCCATAGCCAATTAAAATATCAAGAACATCTTGCAGTGTAACAAAAAAGGTGACCATAATATTCTTAAGTGATCCCTGAACATCAATATTAGACTTAATCCTGGTACTATTAAAGCAAGAACAGAGAATCAGGAGGTAAAAACACAAGACACGGACTCTGACATTAGATGCAGTATCAGTAGAAGATGTAACTCAGCTCTTTATAACAGAAAGCTAAAACATTCCTTATTCAATACCCCATGCTGACATAATCATTCAGGAGCCGAGTAATTATTTGCCTCCTCTTTGCAAAGTCAGCATGAGGACAGGAATAGATATAGGCTACCAGATGCAGGATCAGGAATCTTTAGAAGAGCTTAGCACCATCCCTCTCCCATTAAACTGCCAACAGTAGAAGCAACAAAATAAAAATGGATATAAAAGGGCTGTTTACAAGACAACACTGGAAACAGGAAAGTTAAACAGGCCTAAGTAAACTTTCTTTTCAAGAACATGACTAAGAGCAATTTTTATTTATAAATAAATCCCAGAAAGCTCCTCCTGTCAATCCTTTCTTCCATTTTTCTCTATTGTAGTTGCATTCAAATTGCAAACAGGAAATAAACAGTTGAAACATTACATAAACATCTATATCCGTAAATAAGATCATTAGCAGGCTAGGAGAAAACTCTGTCCAGAGTATATTGTACAAGTGAAAAAAAAAAAGTCTTCATTTATTTCAGACTACTTTTTGAGCAAATGAAAAAATAAAACTTCTCTTGGCTACCTACTTCAGGGTCAAGATCATCCAGAACAGTTTCCAGTTGTTTCAGTTCTTCTTCTGAAAGTTTGCCAAGAATTTCATCCTCATCAAGATCTTTGTACTTGTCCAAGTCCTTTCGAAATGGGAGTGTCATGACTTGGGCAGTAGCAAGTTGCACGAACACTTCAAAACCCAAGTCTTATTCTTAACCGGATCTATAAAAAAAGTTTCAAGAAGAAATAACTATAGTTAAGGTAAATATCCCAACTACAAAGCATCTTCAACCTCCAACCACATCTCTGAAAGTTTTTTCAGCCAGTATTCATATCTACCTGTTATTCTACAAGAGACAAAGAGCGTTTGGAAGCTGTCTACACCTTGCTTCTTCACTGACAAGAATCCTGTCCTGCCATGCCCTTTTCCATCAGTAACTAAGCTATATATATTTTCAGATGAATGCCAGTATCCAGTTTTCTCGACGAGAACTCCAAGGCCATAATTCCCACACAGCAGGGCAGGCTGTGGGGTAGGAGGGAGGAGATACCAACTATACCTAGTATTTATGAGTCCAGCTTAATGCCATTGGTTTTTACAGATACTGCAGTCAAAAGAAGAGTTAAGATGCTTTACATTTATCATTGCTGCTGCTGTTCCAGGGCAGTAAAGGAGAACTTCACTACAAACAAGCTAATTGATTATTACTGACTCACATCCCTGCAGATTACTTAGAGAGGGAACAAAGGAAGTTTGCCTCCGAGTTAATTATAGCACTACCATTGAAGTAACATTCTCTTCTGTTCCAGGAAAATTAAAATACCTTGATGAAAGGCTTAGGGAATACAGCTCCTAAGTAGCAGCACTCCAGACAATCCTACTATAAAAAAAAAATATTAAAAATAGAGAACAAACTGCATAACTGTTCATTAAATATTATACTTAGAGGAAACTGGGGCCCTTCAAAAGATGTACAGTCTATACAGTACTTCTCATGGACAAGGAGAGCACAGGGAACCTTTTTTTAACAGTCACAATTTTTAAGGATTTGGCTTGGAAAAAACAAACAGTTAATCACAACAGTGTGGAAGCAGATAAGTTGGTTTCTCTCATTTTTCTGTAGGAAGTTCTGGGATTCTCCTTTTGTTCAGCTAAATTCTTGCTTCAAGTTGAGCACACACACAAAAAAGGTAACTTGAATGACTCTATGCAAGTGAGCAACAGCATCTAATGTATTGGGGGAGCAAAAGCTAGATCCATACATTCAGGCTCATTAGCCTCCCTAACCCCTTTCTCGGCTCTATAGAAATACCCAACAGAGATCAGGCATACAGCAAACGCTATTTATTCTTCAATAGCCCACATTCCCAATTCAGATGCTCACATCACATATACTTCATGCATTACTTCAAACCTGCACTTACACTGTACTTCAAAACTAGATCAATTTAAAGTTATTGCCTCTTAAGCAAAAGGAAAAGAAGGGCCATATATACATACTATACCATGGAATCTTGCTTATAGGATTCCTTCACCTCAGTTGTTTACATCAAGAAAGGTCTCACTGGTTGTCAGTTACATATGGTGATACTTTAATTCAGAGACACTGAACAGACACAAGTCAGTCAAGTTTGTCTGTAAGGTAAACCTGGTTTTAACAATTGCCTTTGCAAGAATGGTAAATTTGCAGTTCCTTCCAACATCTACACCTGAATGAGGAATATATTTACAGCTATCTTCAGGATGTCTGCTTTTAAAAAAACATTACTGATATAAACACTAGAGCTTACTTGTAAACCACGGTTGACATTAATTGGACATAATTCCAAAGCTGAACTACTGACTTAGGTAAAGTTCTCTGGAACGTAACAAAAAAAACAGGAGGAATTCTCAATTTCATGGTAAATTACGTCAAGGGAACAGTGTCTGGCTTCCTCTGAACTAAACCCAATCGTGATGGAAGAGTTTTGATCTTTTGCTAGAGGCCACAGAGCTGACCACCTCTGAGTTTAATGGCTGCAGCAAATGCAGAGGGTAGCACACCCATGTTTTTCAAAGCCATGTTCCAAAAGTAATCAAGGAAGTGTGTCTATGGTCTACCGTGCCACCTCCTACAGTTTTCATAGTCTCATGGTATTTGTTTCTCCAGGTGCGTAACAGCTGAAGGACAATTAGCTGATAGCTGCAGCAGATGCCACACAATCTGCATGCAAACTTCTCATTCCTAGAGCCTTAATGTTTTGCCCTTCCTTAGAGTTTAAGCCATTACACACTATCATAAGAGAAAAACATTTCCTGCAGCCATTACACAGCATTGTTTGTGACCAGGCTGCACCATCTGAATCCTACATCAACATGCTGCTATTTACCACATTTCTCCATGTGCATTTGCATTCAGATATTAAAAGGTGTACTTTTAAGGGGTAATTATAAGGAGTAGAATAGTTAGCATACTACAGAATAATGCTCCCCTTACTCTGATGGACAGTTGCACTGAATAACCATACATTACATTCACGTATGCTATATTTCCTCACCATGAATCACTGTAAAATGCTGTCACCCAGAATTAATTACCTTTTCTTTACTGCATTGGTATGTTTTATACTGGAAAACTACTCATCCTTTATAATACATTAACTAATGTTCAGGTCATTGCCCTTAGTCTTGCTTGTTTCTATAATATGATCAAAGTAGCCATTTCAAATCCTGAGCTACAGTATTCAGACACACACAAAAAAAGTGAAAAATAAAGCACCAGAGCAAAAAAGCCCACTATTTCTGTAACTGAGTCTTCACTTCAGCAAGAGGAGGAGAGTCACATTGTCCTGGCAAATTTAAATTTAAAGAGTTTTGGACATATTTTCTAATACCTATCAATAAAAAGTATTTTTTTAAATATGAGAGCATACTTAACATGAGACACCTTTAAAAAGTTATGATGGCAGAACCGATTAGCATGTCTGTACTACACAGAGATTGCTGGGTAACAACTTTCAGAAACATTCCCTACAAAAGAAACCACAGCATATATGACGCTCGTATATAACGTGCTAAAAATCAGGTTTTAAAACATGGTGTCAGGAATTCTCGTTGCCTAAAAATGACATAAAGGCCAGCTGAAGCCGTAATCTAATCAAACAAGCCCCTTCACCTCCCATTAAACACATTTGGTACTCTGGTTTTCATCACTCACTGTAGCAGCATAGCATAGAGAAAGATACATGCGTACCAAATTACACGTTTTTAGAAGGAGCAGTTGTTTAAACTGAACATTTGTGGCACATCTTACTGCAAAATCATAGGCAAAACTCTAACCATCAATTTTGCCTTTGCAAATACTTTGCACTTTTTTGATGAGCCAAGCTAGTTTTCTTCTAAGTATCCTTCTTAGATTTACCATGAAAACATTGCATACGTTAATAGTCAAAAGGGGACTAGTGTTCTTTTTTTCAGATACATAACTATACAGTAAAGTAAGTTCTTCACCTAGCAACTTCCTAGTCACCTAAGAAACACGTAGGGAAATGAAAACAAAGCCATCACTTCCAATCAATCAAATTTCAATTCTCTGTTTAAGCAGAAGAAAAGTTGAAAAACCAGAAATTAAGATATTCTGCTGGACATTACAGAGACAAAAATCTTGCCATTATTCCTTGACCTAAGAAATCAATGAACAACTAAAGAAATTAGAAGGTAATAGTAATTTTACTTTAGGTCATTTTACAATTACCCGAATCATTCCCTGAAAGACTGTCAAGCAACCTTCAAACACCCCGCATCTTCAAGTTAAAATATTTTTGTTTTCTTCTCTCTGAAAGTGTATTTTTAAATTCTAAAAATAGCTAGCTTCTGATTTTCTTTCAAAAATTCACCCCCTGAAGTTTCTATTATATTTAAGAATATAATTTCTTGGGACTCTAACAGGAGTAACTCTTTATAAATATCTTGCCCACAGGAAACTACAGTCTTGTCAAAGTCCACTGTAAATGGTTTCCGTAACTTGGATTTTAAAATAGAAGTGACATCATGAAAAACAAACCAAGCCGGTTTTGGCAAGCCTGTTCGCAGAGTTCACTTTAATCTCACTTGTTCCTTCAGAGTCTCCTTCCACCCAGCCTCTGAGTGAACCCGACCTGGAGCAGGGGGGGTCCACAGGGTTGTC